AAAAATAAAACTTAAAACGTAACCATTATTTTCCGAGCAAAAAATAAAACTTAAAACGTAACGATTATTTTCCGAGCCAAAAGTAAAACTCAAAACATAACGATTATTTTGTGAGTAAAAAATAAAACTCAAAACATGATGATTAAACTTGATTTTTATAAGTAAAAATAAAAATCAGTGTCGCTGAAGGTACTCCGAGTAATAAGAAATATATTGGTTTACTCCTTATGCGCGTAGCATTTCTCTTTGCGCGTGATTTTTTGAGTTGAAGTTTCAAAGGATAAGCGTTATTTGCGGTCCCTGGTAAATTCAAAACTTTAGAGCCGTTTTCTCGAGTTTGGTTTTTTGAGTTACGACACTATTGAAGTAAATGAGCATACATATATAATCATATATAAACTCATGGACAAAATAATAGATGTGCAGTATTGGACCAGATTCGGGTACTTTTCTTTTAATTATTTAATGTCCATTCATTTTGTATACAAGTCTAGCTCACTTTATAAAAGACCCAGTGTAACTCCGCATTTTAAACTTGGTCAAAAAAATTCGCGAACTTCAAAAAAATGTCACCAAAATTTATAACTTTAGCATTGGAATTTTTAGAAATTTTTTTGGTATGCAGATAGTATAATAAAGTGCAAGTTTCAATCTAAATATTTTGAGAACATTTTATTCGGAAAAAAATTCACGTTTTTGTACATAGTTTTGCAAAATGGATTTTATGGTGTTTATTTTACAATGAGCTAGGCTTTTGTAAAAATTTAATAAAAACTGAATTACAAATTTTTATTAGAAAAAACCTAAAGCTCAATAAAATCGTTTAATTTAAATAAAGAAGGAAAAATAACCCAAGCGGGTAAAAATTTCGCTCACCTATTAATTTTCCTTAAGGTCTACGTTAGTTCTGCCTTTTCGGGATTAGGTAGAGAAGCAAAGCGAATGGGTCTGGTGGTGAACGAGGACAAAACGAAGAATCTCCTGTCATCACAGAGCATACACGTCTTGGCACACCCGTTACTGTTGACAGTTACAAGTTTGAAAAAGTAGACGACTTCGTTTGCCAACAAGTGCTACTTTGGACTGAGTAGGCAATTGAGAAGTAAAGTCCTCTCTCGTCGTACAAAGATCACACTCTATAAGTCACTCATCNGTGCTGGTGATTGGCGCGGAGGCATGGACAATGATAACATCTGATGAAGCGGCTCTTGGAGTTTTCGAGAGGATTCTGCGAAAGATTTACGGGCCTTTACGCGTTGGGGAGGGTGAATACCGCAGGCGATTTAACGATGAGCTGTATGAGCTTTACAACGATATAGACATAGTGCAGCGAATTAAAATTCAGCGGCTCCGGTGGCAACAGAGGAAGAGGAAGGCCTCATCTGCGTTGGAAAGACCAAGTGGAGAAGGACTTGGCTCCACTTGGCATTTCCAATTGGCGTCAGTTGGCACAGAAGAAAAATTACTGGCGTGCTGTTTTGGATTTGGCCAAAATCGCTTTGCGATGTTGCTTTGACCAGGGTTTGAACCCAGGTGTTGTGGAGTGGAAGCGCGCACTGCTTACCACTACATCACAGCGGCCGACAAGAATCAACCGATTTCAAAAAAGATTATCAATTCGTCGGAATATATTTTTGTACGTATGTTACCGGATAACTTTGGACCACGTGAACCGTTTCCGCTTGTTATCGGAAAGGTGGTATCTCAGGGGTGCTCCCATACTAATTTCTTTTAGTTCTGATAATTGAATGACTAATAAATTAACAGCAATCCACAATTTTTTGGTTCAGTATCACGACTTTTTATAGTTTCAACAATGCCAATATTAAACAAAAAACACCATGCACTCACTTTTGATTGCTAGTGTATGCCGTCAGAATAGATATTTTTTAACATAGAACGATAACTAATGTATAAAATTGATTTAACAAAAATTCCAAACGATTTCTTAGTTTTATGTAACTATCATTTGTATGAATGTGGCTGGTGGGACACTGAAAATAACTCTATTTTACCCTTTTGCACTCAAAGATGAATTTTAACCAAAACACTTAATCTTCACGAACGATGTTTTTGTGTTGTGAAATATGAATTATACACTTTTGTTTTATAAAGATTAGGTTTATATAATCTTCATAGAAAAAAAAATATATTTTGAGTTGCGTCTGGTGGGACATCTTGTGACTGGTGTAAAGCAATTATGCATGAAATAAAAGTTTCCATAGACAAAAATTACAACTTCTTCGCATTTTTTAATATCTTTCAACAGGTAAATGAAATGTTGTCATGTAAGAAGGGGTTATTGCTGAAATAGTGATAATTAGGGCATATTTAAATTTATGGCGTTTTACTCTTTTACATGAAATGACCCTTCAATTAATTATCTCGGTACTCGAAATATTAAAAAAATTAGGCACTATCTCCATTGAAAATCAGAAACCAGAATTAGAGAAAAATAAACATTAAAACTCTGTTTTAACATTTTTTAATACTTAAGAAAGTTGAGCGCATATTTTGTTTATAGCACTTTTTATTAAACAAATAATTTTTAAGCAAGAAAAAACCACCGACTTCAATTCTCATTACAGATTTAAGAGTACCGTTAATTTTTTATGATCCAATGATCGGATCTAAACCAAATTACGGGACGACCAGTGAGGTACCATCCTTCCGATAAAAAATGGTTTTGAAATCGGTTCACGTGGGCCAAGGTTATGCGGTAGCATACATAAAAAAAGAAAAAATATTCCTACGAATTGATAACCTCCCCTTTTTTTGGAGTCGGTTTAAAATGTTTGTGTTCTTTGTTAATTTTATGTGAATAAAGTGGAATTTATGAAACTTTAAAAAGAGTATTTATTTATTACATACTATATAGAATTTGCATATATGTATTTTAAAGAGCATCTGAAGCGAATTTTCAGTATTTTCTGGTGATATATCTCTGGAAGTATAAACCCCTACCAAAACATATTACTGGGTGCGCCCCTGGATATATGGAAGGTGTAGTTGTTGCGAAGATAAGTGTGGGGTGTTGTGTCACCCCTGATACCTTATACGTATGTGTATGATCATCGGCGTAGCCAGAATAAAATTTAGGGGGGGCTCGACCCTATTAAGCTGGCATTTCAGGGTGCTATTTTATATATATATAAGGAAAATTTGAAAGTTAGGGGGGGGGGGGCGCTCGAGCACCCCCTGCCCCTACCTGACTACGCCCATGCGTATGATATAATTTAGCGTATATAAAAGAAGACATTGTTATTTGAATGTTGGGCGAGTCACCAGCTAAATTGGGCTTATGCCCAAAAAACGACAAAAAAATCAAAATTTTTGCACAAAGTGTGAAAGGCCTGCTTGCCCTGAACATCGAAGGAGACTTTGTTTAGCTTGTGTCTAAACCATTTTTGTTTTTTTCTTTACAAAAACTTTAATTAAATACTCTATGATATCAAGACGAATATTCGTTTTGGTTTTTTATTTAATAAAAAAAAAACACATTCAAACAGTGTGTGTTTTTTTAATTATGTGCTATCGTCCCGTGTTTGGATTTTAGAGACAGCTGGGCTCTCAGAGTATATAGTTTTGGAAGGGCGGAAGCTGCGAGCCACCGATCGCCTTCCATAATGGCGTTTAGCTCTGGCTGAAAAATTCTACAGGTGTCCGGTAAGCGAAAAACTGGGGTTTAGTACAAGTTCGCTGGAGTTAATTTTGCTGCCTACTCTTTCGTTTAGCTTAGAACCGTCTGTATAGATAGCCGTGTAGGTTTGTGGCACCTTCCCATTCGATTCTCTGTGGAATTCTTGTGAAGAATTTGTTGTTTCCATTTACGAGAGAGGATATTGGTGTAAAAAAATCCTGCTAGTCGCCACACTATATCATGTTTGGTGCATAACTTATTTTTATCTGTAACCCAGTTTCGAAGTGTGTCATACATATTTATATCGATGCAAAGACTATTTTAAATACTAACTGTAAATTGGAATATATGTTGACCAACAATACGTCCTTCACCAGTAAAGTGAATTATATATTTAAACTTTTACCCACTGAATTAAAATTAAGTGAGCAACTAATCCGAAAAATTTAGTATGTTGTGATTTTGTATGACGTCAGAATGGTCAATAGTTCTCAAAAAGTATATTTAAATGATCGACCATAACTTAAATCGGGTCAAAAATTACAAATATATGATGAAAAATACCTTTCGGCTATTTTTACAGCATGGGAAACACGTAAATTTAAGTGACGGATAGATGGGGAATGACCTGGTCTAATAAAAAAATTCATTAAACGTAATAAATTCAGTTAAAAAACAATGCAAAAATTAAGAAAGTCGGTAATATTTTTTTTCTTGATATCCACTCTTCTAAAATAGGAAACATGTCTGTTTTGTATCGATTTTACAGGTCTATCATGAATTCCGTCGGAGATCCCGACGTTGTCACATCGGGAAATCGCTATCATGACTTCCGTCGTGATCACGAAATTCTCCCGCAAATTCGAAATTCGTGAGAATGGTATCACTGGTTTCGAGTTATTTTATTTAGATTTTTTTGATTTAGAATTATTAAATCAAAACATAAAAACAAACAAAAACCAAAGGCAGCACTAACTACGAATGCATCGAAATTGCTGATAGCATTTCTCCCGAAATCGTGACGGCAGATTTTTTCACGGCGGGAGTTCACTCGGAATTTGTGATAGGCCTGTTAAAGTTTTATTGAATTTTCGGGTTGAAATATATAGCGGTTACTCACCTGTTCGTTAATTTCTTTGACTGCGCGTAGTTCCTTCTTCAACTTCATTCGCCGATTCTGGAACCAGATCTTTATCTGACGTTCAGTGAGACAAAGCGCATGAGCTATTTCGATTCTTCGCCGGCGTGTTAAGTAGTGATTGAAGTGGAACTCTTTCTCCAATTCAAGAGTTTGGAAGCGTGTGTAAGTTTGACGACCGCGCCGGCGCGGACAACCATTAGGACCTAAAACAAAATAAAAACATGAACAATAACTAGAAAAATTATGAACAAATATTAGAAAGAAGTGTAAAGCAATAAGTGTGGTACTAGTTTTGCCTCAATTAACAAACAAATAATTTTGGAAACATCCTTGCCTTGCCATCCCTGCTGCACTTAATAATGTTTTAGAAATGATCGCCATTTGATAATTTAATTTCTTTATGTTATACATATTAATAAAAAAATGTTTAAATTATCGCTTCCATATNAGTCCCTGCTGCACTTAATAATGTTTTAGAAATGATCGCCATTTGATAATTTAATTTATTTATGTTATACATATTAATAAAAAAATGTTTAAATTATCGCTTCCATATTTTGACAGGTTACGGAAATCCAATTCACTCAGTTTGTGGACTTAAAAATAAAGTTACAAATTTCGGGTAAGTGCACTTTTAAAGGCTTGTGTTATTTTCTTTTGTAAAATTTAAAAAGAGTGACGAAAGTTGTATGTGTGTCGAATATTGACGGTACTTTTCTCTGAGGCAATCGACCTGACACTAATATTTTCCATATTTTGTACCATTATACATATGAACATGTACATATACTCACACACTCGCATGATTTAGAAACGCAAGTGTAAACAAAAGAAGTCCCCTGGCTGATGACGTAAAATCACAACAAACTATTAGGCTGCGTGGGTATGCTGGCAGCGCGGGTGGAATGTGGAATTCTCGTCAATATCAGACACAAGGATTGCCCAACGGCGCCACGGGATATCGACTAAAGACCATCTCAAATCGCACAGTGGCAGTTACTTCAACGTTCTATGTATGTTTTGTTCCCATTCTTAAAGTCTCCGTTTGAAATTTTGGCAAAATGCTTTCTCCACAGTTGGTGTGGCTAAAGGGTGAAAACGCTAGCACCCGCTTTGCGCTCAGCGGGTTCTCGGGGCTTGCAATTGGGCTGTGTGTTTATCGCGTTGAAGGGCTGCTGAGTTTCATGTTGTTGCAGTTGCTTACTTTTCGTTCAAATAAACTGTAAATCTTCCAAACAATTCCCTTTCACACAGCTCGATGCGTCAAGTCGACCACCTGCTTTGCTTTACTAATTTTTTTGTTGTTGTATATAATGCAGCAAGTTTTTTAGTGTTTGGATTTTCATATTTTACTTTTTACCTCTGATTTCATTTTTTGCAATTTTCCACGCTACCTGTGCCAATTTTTTTATCCGAGGTAGTTGTCATATTTGTGTTATGCCTTCCTGCGAAGAGTATTGGTGACGGTGCGTCGCGACGGGTTCTTGCTTCACTGTTTATGTTTCGGAAATCAAATTTACGCTATCGCAAATTGTTTATTTTTTCATCTCCAAACGTTTTTCGTTTTTCGCTTTTCTATTTTCACTTCCTTTTTGTGCGTGCGTATTACGTCCATTAAGGCAATTTTTCATGGTTTTATGTGACGTTTTGCGATGAAGACGCGGCAGTTCCGCAACTTTTTAAATTACATATTCTATAAAGGTGAAAACCAGTATCTGTGGAGTAGATTTTAGGTCATCGATTTGTTTAGATTGCCATAAAGTTGGAAGAATGAGTATTTTGACGTGTATACATAATTTAGTTTTCAAAACATAATTTTTCTGGAACAATTACTAATGCATTTAGGTAATTTAAAAAGCACCGATATTAATTTGAGACAGTTCGAGCCAGTAAATTGACCTTGCAGAAAACTCAGAAAATGAAACTGCCTGGAAGTAAAACAAGTTCACTTTGAACCCAATCACAAAATACCTTATTTCATTCTCCCTAAAACTTATTCGATGAGGTAACACTGCTCAAACTTTGACAAGTCACTCATTGGTAAATCGCGTAAGATGTCTAATCAATTTAATCTTATTTGAATAGTTGACTCCCCGAAAAGTCGTTATTTTCTAACCTTTTTTTTAGGTCATAACGGATTTAAAACTGTGATAAGAATGTAGTGGCCGAGTCAAAAACAGCACTCCATTAGTTTCTCTTCTGTGCCAACATGCGCCAATTGTAAATGCCAAGTGGAACCAAGGTGGAGAAGGAGACCTGGTCTTTTCAACGCAGAGAAGGCTTTCCTATTCCTTTGTTCGTTCTTCGTGGTTCTCCACCAAACCCAATTTACAGTGCCGCTTGTTCTCTTTTGGGTAGAATCATCGGCGTAGCCAGAATGAAATTTAGGGGGGGGAGGGAAGCTCGACCCTATTAAGCGGGCATTTCAGGGTACTATTTTATATATATATAAGGAAAATTTTAAAATTAGGGGGGGGGGGCTCAAGCACCCCCCTGCCCCTACCTGGCTACGCCCATTTGCATAAAAATATTAAAAAAAAATAAAAAAAATTTTGAACGGAATCCTAATAATGATATTTTTGATGCTGTTTTTTAACTTTTATCAAAGATTGGTATAAGAAAAACTTGAATAACTGAACGTAAACTCTTCCAATTTAGTCTTGTGAGGTATCATTGGAAAGGTATTTTCTCATCCTTTTTATTTTCTTTGCTAATAAGCTCATTCAAAGGATGAAAGAGAAAGGTAGGATGAACGATCATCATTCAAATTTGAATTAAGATGTGTTGGTATTTGAAAAAAAAGGGACACGAATGACCTTTTTTGCATATAAATAAAAATAGTGGGAAAATACCTTTCTATCGAGATCCCATAAGTCTACATCAGAATAGTTTTGGCCCAGTTATTTAACTTTTTCGAAAATCAATCATTAAAAAAAGCAAAAGAAAACAGCATCAAAAATCCCATTATTACGATTCCGTTGAAAAGATCTTTTAATATTTGTATGCAGATTTTTTAAGCCTAATCTGTTTTGTCATCTGAGGGGACTTTTTTCAAAATTTCTTTAAGAAACTATTTGTATTCATAAAAAACTCCATTTTTGGAGGTATTTTTTAATCGATCCAGCTCGCTTAATATTTTTCCGAAATATTTTGGTGGACGTCTTAAAATATAATAAATTTTGTAATCCCGGCGGAAAAACCGCAACTTATTTTGGTGGTGCAGTCTAATATCTATATTATTATATTATTGGTATACATGAAATCTCAATATGAGTAGAAATCCACGGAAAACACATATCAATTTGAAGATAAACGAACGGATATTGTTTTATATTTCACTATATATATACTAAAATATTATTATTAGGTGTTAACCCTTAATTAGGCGCATAAGGCCATTTCAAGTTAAAAAGATGTCTTGGAGTGCTTGGAGCGTGCTCGCGCTCTTTCTAGCTTCCTATCTCCCCGCGGGGTACGTAAATTTGTCACAGCCAAAACATCGGCCTGTACACATGTGTCGCTACTGTCTTAAGTCCTGACCACATGCGAGCACTCACGTAACATTTTTTGGCGGAAGTAAGTTTTTATTTTTGTATTTAAGTTTGAAATCAAAGTTATGTTTTTCTTTCTTTAAGTTAACTATAATAAATAGCTTTAATATTTATGACAATACATATTTCGTTTTATTTATTTAGTCATGGCTAGAACACCCTCGCTCATATGTGTCGCTACTCGCTTGAGTGCTGACCGCAAGCGACCACTAACGTAACATTTTTTGGGGGAGGTAAGTTTTTTTTTTTTAATGGGGACCCCAGTGACCCCATGCGACTAATTTTGCGATTTTCTTTATGCACCTAATTAAGGGTTAAATTCCTTTCCGCGTAGGTGACCTTCGGCCGCGCTTAGGAACTATAACCTTCTGTGTTGCCATAGAAGAGGGACATATTGCATATTTTGCATATTGTTTCATATTTATTAAATATCTTTGCTTTCTTATATATTCGTTTTTATGTATTGCCTTCTGTTTTATTGTTTTATACAGTATGTCAGCACATCTTGTGTGTTAGTTTGCAACCCTTTGGTATTGTGAATATGAATACAATTTGATGTAATTTACAAGCTAATAAAAGTTATAGTGATTTTTAAGCAAGATAAAATAAAAATAAACGAATGTAAGCTATTGAATGGAGTGTTATGTTAATTAATATATATACAAGTACTTGTCAAATGCATGAACTTAACAAATTTAAAAACTATTAACTTATAAACAACTATATTTTTTACATATTTTTTCCTCTCCTCCTCCCTAAGTTTCATTACTTAATTCCAAATGCTTTTCTTAAAACAAAGAGTGTGGCTGCATACTAAACCCTACCCATCAAACCCTTAAAACGAAGCGTTATTTAAACTAAATATTAAATTTAACAAAAATGCAATATAGAGCTTAAAATTACTCACTTTCGGCGTTATTTTTCATATTTCGCACACAACCGATCACAACAATTTACTCACCAATTCTGACTTTAGTAAAAGTATTCTTACACGACATGTATTTCCAAATGTAAATGCTACTTTTATGTTACATTCTAATATATGGTACATACGAGTATATACAAAAAAGTAGCATTTACATATGCTATGCATTTCGTGTAAAAGCCCTGTAAGGTGTGTTCTTATTAAGCGACTTAATCGGTTAATCGATTAGAAAATGTTAATTCATAAAATACAAAAAATAGTCGACTTAATTAACAACTAACCGTTAACAAACTAGTACACAGTGGGGTAATCGACCCTGAAACTGGAGATCAATTCATACGAACATTTAATTTAAAACATAACGGTTGTTTGTAACAGCCTAAAGGAATCGAGATAGATATAGACAAATGTATACATAAATGATCAGAATGAAAAGAGAAGTCGATTAAGCCATATCTGTATGTCCGTCCGTCCGTCCATCTTTCCCTGTACACGATAGCTCGAGCAAAAATTGACACGTCTCAACTAAATTTGGCATATAGCTTGCTATTTATCCAAGATAGGTTCCTATTGGAAATGGGCGAAATCGGACTTTAACCACGCCCCTTTCTCATATAACGGTATTTTCGAAAAATGCATAATATATGATAATTCAGTAAATATTGGATCAAAATTGTTTAAAATCGGTATGTGAAGTAGAATTTTGGTGCAAAATAATATTATTATT